GAGGTCAATAGCAACATTCCATATTTAAACAACTACCGGGTCAATAGCAACATTCCATATTTAAACAACTACCGGGTCAATAGCAACATTCCGTATTTAAACAACTACCGGGTCAATAGCAACATTCCGTATTTAAACAACTACCGGGTCAATAGCAACATTCCGTATTTAAACAACTACCGGGTCAATAGCAACATTCCGTATTTAAACAACTACCGGGTCAATAGCAACATTCCGTACATAAACAACTACGAGGTCAATAGCAATATTGAGTAATAATATTTTAGATGTATCTTGTGTGTGTGTGTATGTTCTTTAGCGTTCGGATTTTAAAAAAATTCTTAATTTCGTGTATATTTTGATATATTTTAACATTTCATTATTTTCTTACCTATTGGATAAATTGTAATGGGTTATTTTTTTATCCTGTTTGATTTTCTAGGTCGGGAGCATTTAAAGATGCAATTCTGCAACGACACGATACCTTACTCTCGGCCGGACGACCTTCCGCAACATTCAGATATGAACGGAAGAAAACGTCGGGGAAACTTGCCAAAAGAATCGGTGAAAATCTTGAAGATGTGGTTGTACGAGCATCGATACAACGCCTATCCTTCTGACCAGGAAAAACTCGTACTCTCTAAAGAAGCCAATCTCAGTCTTTTACAGGTCTGTAATTGGTTTATTAATGCTAGACGTCGCATTTTACCGGATCTAATTCGGAAAGAGGGGCACGACCCCTTGCAGTATACAATAACAAGAAAGAGTTATTCCAACAGAAGTCAAGTGGCTAGACACAGGCAAGGAAGATCAGATAAATCTGACCACGACAAACTGGCCAAACCTCCTCAGGCTTTTTTCTCGGTGACCGATGAAAGTGACGTAGAGAGTGAAGACAGTTCGAGTGATAATTCTCCGTGTGATGCTTTGCAAGAAAGTTCAGTCTTGAAAGATTGCGACTCTCCCTTAAAGTTGACAAGACGCTGGCAACAATCTCACGAGCAAGAACTCATGAATCGAGATTGGAGAATTGACCGTTTTAATACGCAATCTTCAGTCATGAACGTGTCGCCCTCTAGTGATAACTCAGAGCTTAATCTGTCCATAAACCCTCACGGTTGTAATGAAGTTACTAAGTATGGTGCCTCGTTCCCTTCACAGGATATATTTCCAGGAAGGAAAATTCAGTTATGCGAAGTAAGAAGCGAGTCTAAGGTGTTCGATTCACCGAGATGTTCCGACACTGAGCTTAAAAAAAAACATCCACAGCCGTGGGAATCGGAGCCAAACACCCCCCCACTTACACCACCTGGTGCGCATAAAGAAGACCCATTCAGTTGCTTGTATTTGCTAGTAGACGCCGCTGTTGGCGAACTAGAAAAGCAACGGGGGCAGAATTATACCGAGTTATGATAGCGCAATCTCTTTACCCATGAAAGCTACACATCGAAAGGTGCCTTTTAAACACACAGCTACCAAACAACGAAACCCCCCCCCCCCCCATAGTGTAGTGCTTCATCGTAACTGTAGTGAACATGTATGCGGTAAGTCATTAGTACCGAAGCGAAACAAATTAGTCATAAACTATAAATTTTAATAACATTATCTGTAATTATAGCATGCAGAGACAAACTGCGTAATCTTGCTTTTGATTCGTTCATTTTCAAGATGTCACTAATCCGTACTTACGTAGTACGTAGCTTTGCCTAGAATGTCTTTACTTTTGATTTGGTTTAGACAACTAAAAACCTTGATTTCGTCTGCTTTTCGGTGAAGACACTTCAAATTAAATGTGTGTGTGAATGAAAGTATTTGTTCAATGTTGAAAACAAAACGATCCGGATCAAGACAGGTAGACCACATAGTTTTCATTCGGGTCGAGGTTAACCCTAACTATAGGTAGTACGCAGCATGAGTACTTCTGCTAAAGGTGATCCGAGATCATTGTCGATGATGTCAATGCAAAAATACTCTGTAGCTTCTGGTAAATATTGACTAGTACACGTGAACTGTGAAGTTTCAATCCGAAATGTCCTAGGGGGCGTCTCGCAACGCAATTGTGACTTTCCTAAGCATTTCTCAAAGTAATCATGACATTGAGTTGAAGTGGGTCTGAATTCGGCTATCACAGTAGGGCTAAAGCTCGTTCATGTCACCATGCATCTTGACAATCAAATTAAAAAAAAATCGAATGCATAGTAGGTGAATTATTTTGTAGTCTATTGAAATTATTGATAATTTTAACGAGAAAAAAAAAGTTTTGGAAAACTTAGTTTGCTGTTGAAATTTCAGTGTCCAGATTTTTTTTTTTAAATGTCAATTTTTAACAAAAATTTGGTTGCTCAAAGTAAAAAACAACAAAAACATATACATTTCTTAATATATTCTTTACGTTTCGATCAATTATACGTCATTATCTTAGTGAAGTAGACTTTATTCACGAAATTTATTTTTTAAAGTTTTAGCCCTCTTAAAACATTTCATGTAGTTTTTTAATATATATATATACCACACAATTGACTCATTCAGTCAAATCTTTTACGTTTAGAAGAATAAATAAAGGAGTCTGAAATATGAATCTGTACCTATGATGACTTTCATACTGCGTGTGGGATTGTTGTTAACGTATCATTTAATATCCGTTTGATTCATAACTGATGCTTTTGCTATTCTAAGGTTTGAATATTGGGGTGACATCTAGTGTTAATTTTTTCATCTCTAAAGATTGTGTGCTTTTAAGTATGGCGACACGTAGTGTTGTGCATATTAGCGAGTGTTTTATTTACCTGGTGAATATTGGTTTAAAAAATTAAGAATAAGTCTTCAACACATTGTGTGTCAGTATTCTGAGAGAAATTTTGGTTTGGTGTGTTTCTTCTAAATTTGAGCTATACACCACACTTCCTTAGGTACTAAAGAACTAATATCAAAAGTTGGCATGATCAGTTTGTAAAACTAAGTACGTTATTTGAGTCGAGATACGTTTTCATAACACTTATTGTGAAATAAATTTTAGTTAGTAAAATGTATTGCGTTTTGACTGATTTTTAGAGCGTGTTATTGATTATAGTCTAAAAGTTGAAACTGATTTATAATTTTCAAATATTGGTATTGTTTTATTATATAGTAAATGTTTTTGTGGAAAATGAAACACAAAGGTTCTATAAAATCTGAAAATAGAGAGATTGAGTGCGTTATCTTAAAACGAGTTTAGAGCCTTACCGCGTCGTTAGTTCTTACTGCCATGTTTTATTTGACGATTGTGGATTATGACAGTAGCCTTTGATTATATTGCCTGTAAAACGTGGACAACTTTTGTCACTGAGCTTTTGTGTTCGTGTATTCCCACCCGTTAGGAAAATGCCGCACTTTCCTTATCACGGTTAGGGCACGACTTGTTGTAGATCTTTCTCTGCATGGTTCAGATGTCCCAAGTTGATTCACATTCCTTCAGTTTTCCAATGCCATTAAGTAAAAGAGATTATCTCTGTCGTGAAAGTTCTAATTCCCCTAAATACACACCTTTGAGTTTATGACTATTTTGTGTGGAAAAATATTCACTCTTCCCAAAAGCAATAAATTTTTGGTGGCATTACACCACCTACTAACGTTAAACATTTGTAAAATGTGATTGATATTTACCGTTCCACCGCCACGTTATATCGGCTGTGGTTGTCAGGTGACTTGAATATTAAGAATTGTTTTAATATAACGCACTGAACTCTCTGTAGCAATGAAAACTATATTTTCAAATACAGATGTTGATCCTCCTTTTTTTTGTTTACAGTTCTTCAGGAAGGTTTATTTTAAACGATCTTTTGTTTTATGTTTGATAACAGCAGTAAGAGGACACAAATGTTTAGACATCATTACCACTAATAATGACTGGGAACTCGACTTTGGAATGAGAGCTAATCTGTACACCAAATAGCTGATAAATCATTATTCGAATACAAGTGCCTCCACCTCCCAGAATAAAATGGCAAATTCATGAATAGCAATAAAAAATATTTAATGACTGAATTCATCTATTTTTTCCCTCTCCCTTTGTTTGAAATAGCAACAGTATGGTGTACCTATTTTGCGACTAAAAAAAGGTACGAAAATATATGTTAATGGTTAAAGCCGCGTACAACAAGCCTATTAACGTGACTGAACAATTAAACTTCTTTTTACACCCATCTCTCTGCACTATTAAGCACCTAACGTTTGCTTATATAGGTCAATGATCCAGAATGGATGTGTAAAACCGCGCTTAAATAATATTAGAATTTTCCTATTATTCCTTGGGCCCGATCATTTAAATTGTTTACAAACAATCTAAATGAACACTAGTTATCAATTTGGTATAGAAAGATTAAAAACCGCAAATTAACAGTTCAAAGAGCTTAATTTGTACTAAACACAGTTCATTGAGTGCTTACTTCAAAGCTGCGTATTGTTCACTGCTTAGGCCTAATTAAAAACGTAGGAAGTTGTATGCTATTTAAGGTAATATTTTAAATAAAGTAATAACATCGAAAATACGCCAAGAAAAATAGATAGAATTAACGAGTTTCAGCGGGCTGTGTTACCAAAATATCAGATTTAGTAAGGTAATATTGCCAACGTAAATTATATATTCAGTTATAACAGATCGATGTACAGCATAACTGTAAAACCTATACAAAGTACTTTAAACACCCCCCCCCAAGACATAATAAACTTCAAAATAAATGTTCGTTTCTTTAAAACACGATTTACTGATAATGTTGTAATAAAACGTGAAATCCGTTATGTTTATCGTTTCAAATGGGTTACCCATCTAGACATAATAAAATTTAGCCTTAAAAATTGCACACAGTTTATTTTCTAACATGTACATTTGAAGGCAAACGTTTCTCAAATATATTCTTCGTTAAAAACTAATATTGGTATGTTTTCATTTGTTATATTGTTGATGATTATACAAAATTTCTGATCTATACATAACAGTGAAGATGCCAAACCTTTTGTTTTGTATTCACTTTAAATGTGTTAAGTGTGCTGGGTTTGATATAGTCTAGTATTTCTCTATAATGTGTTGGGTTTGAAGAGGTTTGCTAGTCATTTTAGCTGAATGTATTGTCACATTCCACAAGCTGTCACATGTGTATGAATTCGTAGCCAAAGTTTGCGTTCTAACGAGTCTTAACTCTTGGACACCTGTGTTCTTTTACAAGTCGAGAGTTTAGGCTACCTAAACCGTGGTTCAAAGTACCTTTCTGTGTTGAAAGTGCTTAGTTCTAATTTTAGGAAAAATATCACTTATATGGTTTTAAATTTTAGTCTTTTCAATATGGAATACGTAATTATTCGTTTTACTTCATATTGAAACTGGTGCAAAGTCCAAGTACAAATTATAGAGTGGGCAAGCAGCACGTGAACTTTGGCAACCGATTCATCTTCTTAGATAAAATAGGATCAGATTTGTTAAAAGGACTGGTCTAATTTGAAGAATAAATCGAATAAACTCGACAATGAGTATTAGTGTGTTTCTTTTAATACAACATCCCCCAAATTCTCTATAAACGGTTATGCTGTTGTTTCGTGAAATTATTTCTAATGTTAATTATCAACATCATTCCTTCTTTCAGCTAACACCGATAAGCTCAAAATCAACCAACACACGTAACCCATAAAAAAAAGAAAAAGTAATAAACACCAAACGCAAATAGAAACAGTCTAATTAGCTTTTAATATCCATCTGCTAACTTTATGTTAACGAAACATTTTTCAAACAGCATAGGGAAGACATATGTTCAAACGTTCACCTTATTAGGACAATAGGCACACATATAGATATAATAAAATAACAGAATACTGACGTTGTTAATTTAAATTCAACTGGTCACCGTAAGAATGGGGAGGGAGGGGGGAATTGCCGAGATTCGTCGTTAAACTACATATATTATCGAACTGTTTCTGTGATTTACAACTGAAGTTTATTTTGTTTTTAAAACGTTTAGAAATTAATTTATTAACACGTCAGTAACACATCAACCAACCAGAGATCCAAACTTCTGATTGATTGTCACATGAAAGAAACTATCTACGAGTGTTTAACAATTCCTTTCAAAGTGCGGATCCTGTAGTTTTAAACCACACACGGCATCATCCTATTACAGGCTCTATTTTGGAACTTCAATCGCAAACATAAATACATTAACAGATTTATATAGTATGTGAGACAAAAGACTGAGAAAACATGAATTTCATACATGCAAAATCCATTATCGGGAATATATATCTGCGTACAAAGCTATGTTCAAGTAACAACAGTATAAAAGCTGAGGATATTTTTAACTGTGCCTGAAAACAATGTCAGTTTGTTCGTTAAAGCTCGCGTTAACTGTCCTATCATAGAACAGGTTGTACATTTTTACTCTACAATAAAAACCCACTGATACTTTTAATAACATTGAAGGAAAAGTTAGCATTTAAACTAATCTTTCTCAAAATGTACTTCACGTCTACCCTCATAAATAGCAATAATCGAATCTCGTGTTAGTGATAAACAATGAAAATTAAACTTCAACCATACATCCAAAACTAACAATTTTAATGTTATTATACTTGACCTTTGAAGTTTTTAATGAGATCGTGACCTTTATACACTTTGTAAAGAGTAAAAAGGTTACTTTGGCACACAATCTTAAGATATAAAGTTATTAATCCACAAACAAACTGTTCCACAATGAACAAACTGGAGTGTGGTACACAGAAAACGACCATATCGTTCTTCAGATTAAAAGCTATTTTTGTCCATTACTTCTGGCATGACACGTAACACTTCGCCAACTATTTAGAAAACTTAACTAACTGTAACATTACTCTTTCAAAATTATATCTGAGAACAAGGTGAAGCCATTTGGAACTTTAAGTAGGAAAGATGTGGTGTTCTTGTACCTAAAGGTTGACGTGTGTGTGTGTGTGTGTGTGTAAGCACATGATGACAGTAAATGAAGCCACAAGATTCCTTGGTAGTTCATAAGACAATTGTAGCCAGTATTTTACAGAATATATGACTGTTCTTTCTCAGAATTCTGGAGATTTTGCTCAAGTTGTGTTTTTAATTGCTTCCTATGAACGTTCTTTGTAACCAATCTTCTTACTGGCCTGGATTTTATTACTTAAAGCCAGAATGTGCAGTTACCTAATTACGTAATGAATTCTGTTCAGTATATATTTATAACACTATGCATTTCAACACTTTCATTGACAAAAAGAAAATTTTCAAAATGTGTTTCTGATCTATATAGGTGTCATGCAGCTAAGTTGTTTGTTGTTGTTTTTTTTTGGGGTGGGAAGGGCAATGTCCGAAAACGAAGTGCTTTTGTTATTAATTGTAGGTTAATAATGACAATCATACAAATAACAGGTGGGATGTTTTTTTTACTTTTATCATTAAATTCCGATTGTTACTTTGATTAACTTACTGGTTTCCATTACAAACATATATTTTGAGATTATTAAAACAGTGTGTGTGTTAAGCATTTGGGAGGACATGCCCACCTGTGACACAATGGCATTGGTTAGAAATTCTTGTTTACAGGGATAATAATGTAAATTATATTTTACATAATCTAGAAGTAAAACTAAACGGAATTATGACTGATAAAATAGAATAAGTTATTCATAGCTTTAAAATGACGCTTGTTGTATTACCAGCAACAAGTGTCTATTTCTCTTTCAAGTAATCTAATCAGGAAGATATATTACATCAGGGAGAAGACAGAATTACCTATAATATAACAACTATAAATTACTAAGAAGTTGAATGATACTCAGTACCGAGTTGAACAGAACAAGACTTTCCTTATAACTCATTCATCTTAACATTACTTGTACGTATTAAAAGTTTTCTGAAGATGAAATATGAACTTGTGTATTTTTCACAGTAGTTACTAAAATCAGTACAGAAGGAACAAAACCATCTTATCTCTAATAACATAAAATCACCTTGTTAGAAATCTATTGAGTGAACGAAAACATTTATACCAAACATCTACTCTGCAGAGATTCAAAAATAAGAGTCACAATGTGATCAAACAGTTGTTAAGAACTGTTTTGTTACTGAAATCTGATACAGATAATGAATCTTAACTATTGTATTTAACTTGAAAGCCTAGATCCTTAACACAAGGAACTACTTTTTATCAATTAATGTTCTTGAAAAACGACAACCATTTTAACCATCACTATTTACCACGTGAGGCTTTTCTTTATGATCAAAATCAGTTTTACTCCAATCGAAAAACAAAAGAAAAAAAAATTCACTACAGTTTTATAACTTAACAGTTTATACTTCAGTTTTTGCACAGAAAACGCTATCCAACCTTAGAGAACGGCAAAGATATGTAGGCTGAAATATTGATATGATTTCACTCCAAGTTTTGTCAGGTAGAGAATGAGTTAATTTGAGCTTCTTTTTTTTCAGTGGTGGTTGAACAACTATGTGAAGTTTTATTAGTGCAATTGTGGTAAAAATAATACTGTAATTGCACAAGTTCACAGAAAGAAAAAAAACAAAAGTTTAGGCATGGCAACCTTATACTTTAGGTGTTAAAAAATAATCTGAATGGAAATAAACAGTATAACAAAGGCACACTATACAATAAAGGAAATGGCTACTGGTTGTTTTTAGATATTTTTTTCCAGCCATTTCAGGTTGGTCCCCAAAAAGCAACCTATAATAAACATTGTTTACGAGAATCTATACCAAGATGTCTTATGAAAGCTGTGAAAGTAATGTGCATATTAACTTTTAAAATGAGCAAGTTTTCATCAGTAACTACACTTTATATCCATGTACATTCCATAATATAACTCTAGATATTGAGTACTATTAATAGCCTCAAGTATTAGCCACAGGCTGAACAATTATATCATATAAACCCACATCACTGCAATATCAGATCAACTGACCAATCATCACCTTGACCATCACAAGTCCACTGTAAGGCCATGACGCAACTCCAAGCAAAAAAGCCATTTTGCCCTTGTCAAGAGAAAAAAAACACAAAAAAAACAGTTACTATAACTTCCTGCTCATTAGTACACCGAATACTTGTACGATCAGGTGTTAGCTGACGGCTTGCAGTGGTAATGTGGTGGTTACCGACGTGCCTGTAGCTTCTGGGATGCAATAACGACTGAAAGTGTCCTCTATCAGTGAGGCAACTATCCCGTGATCACCCTAGAAGACAAAACAAACAATATATACTATTTACCCATGAAGGTGAGAGAACATTAGAGATTAAAAAAAGATGATAAAAGTTTTTACTGAACAAGGTTAGGATGCTCAGACAATACATCAATGCCCCCCCCAGTGACACAGCGGTATGTCTGCAGATTTACAACGCTAGAAACCGGGTTTCGATACCCGTGGTGGGCAGAGCACAGATAGCCCATTGTGTAGCTTTGTGCTTAATTACAAACAAACAATACATCAACAATATTCATCCATATTTCACTAAAATATATCAGCACATGTTTCATTTCTTCTATTTCATAAACTATTTTCTGAAGTTAGAAAAATCAAATGTACATATAAGTTGTAGGCTCCAAGGATGTGTTATGAGCGTTAAACCTAAGGTCATACGATATGTTGACTCTCTCACTATGGGTTTGGTCCCAGGGGCCGACCCCATAACCATTTTGTGCTTGTTATAGTTTTCATACAAAAAACGTTTAATACAGTATGTGTATCTTCACAAAAGTTTGCATACTATCAGTAAACAGTACCAGATATTTTTTTAAGTTTTAATATATTTTAAGTAATGATTTGTTCGTGCATTTTTTCTTTTTGAATTTTGACTATCCAACATCCAAAGTAATTTTGATTATACAATTAATCAGGAAAAACATCAGAAAATTGTCAAATTTCACATGCAAAATCTTTATAACCTCCAAATAATTATCAAACGTTTTTTTAGAAAAAAACTTGATATTTTATCTGTTATTTTCACTATTGTATCTCTGTATGGATTTGGTCAATTTGACCAACTTCATAACCAACATAAAGACTTTGGAAATAGATACAAATTACAGTTTTTTCATTCTAGAATGA